TTTTTTCATGTGCAGGCATGGAACCTTAAGTGGTAATAGATTATATTCTTTTCATGAGGAAGTCACTTGACAAAGCAAAAATGTATCAAGTATGCCTTCTAGATCATTTAAAAGTCTTATTTAAGCATTATTGCTATACATTTGAGTATATATAGTCTTTTCAACTAAGTACTATCATACATTTTATTTGTTTGAAAATTAATTTTGTGTATTGTAGGTGTTCACTGTTCAGTATCTCATTCATTAAGCCACAAGGTCTTTCATAAGTAAGTTAAGGAGAATAGCAGATGCAAAGTAGCTTATGGTCTTTGATGAAGGTCTGTTAGTGTACAAGTAATTCTCAACTTAAAATTCATCTAAAATGAATATGCTTTTGTTATTTCCTCCACTTGTGACTTTTATAGTTTATCATAAAGTTCATTGTTATTTGTTTGTTATCTTCTCTGCTAATTATTTGATATTAATTTCTATTTCTTCAGCTCCAGCTGCAGTTGTGCAGACTTCAGTTGTCAGTAGAAAATCCCTTACTTGAGTATCACAGCCTCATTTCCAATTAGCATAAACCACATTCTTTCAGACAGATAGTTAAAGGTATATCACTGCAAAACCTCAAGAAATGTTTTTGTTGTGTACTGTATAGTTTGGCTTTGAGAATCATAAATAAACAATCAATCTGATTAGTGCTTCTTTGGTTTCATATATCATGTACTTAGGATGAGCAATTTTGTGCTTGAGGTTCAAGATTTTGTTCTGGATGGCAGCATCTTCAATAATAGGTAGGTGAAGTACTTAAGATGATAGCTTAGTTTACAAATTACTTTATGTTATTAGCTCAATAGAAAAGTTCAACCATTTGAATGCAGTTTTACCATTGGTCATGCAGAGTATAAACTTCTCTGATACATCAAGGAGCTAACTAGACTTTGCTTTGCTGCACTTTGATTATGCTATAGAGAAACCCTACATGACGATGGCTGCTACATTTCAATCATCTATCATTGTGATCATGATGGCAGTAGTATTATATGGGTTATGAGTTTGGATATAAGATTTGGTGAAGTTGGGGAGCTTCTATTGAAGATACGATGAAAAAAAATTCTAGATGTTTGTTTGTACTTTGATATTCACATAGTGAAGTATTCTCCTAACTTTGTCTGTACCGTAAATATGTTTGTTTGAACTACTTTGATTATCTCTTTCTCGTATCTAATGTTCATGTTCTACCCTATGTCTAAAACACTTATCTATAATGGTGGTTGTTGAAGTTATGTATCCAATACAGGTTCAAAAAGAAGTTATATATCCAATAAAAGATGTTGCTTGCAATGTTTTTTGATGTAGGACTAGGAAGGCTTTCAAGACTCAATAGTACTTGCCAGGAGATTATAAAAAACATAAAAGAACTCAGAAACGTAATTAGAGAAGGCGTAGGCTTTTTTCCTATGGGTTATATTTGTTGTCCTCTAAATTTTATATTGTTCATCATACGAATTTATTTACCAAAAAATAATGCTTCTGTTTGTCATAATATTATATAGATTTTATATAGAAGGGGAAACAAACTTTTAGAAAAATCAGAAATAATTCAATAGACTTATTTGGTTTAGGGTGATAATATAAGGATAATTTTTTTGTATTATTATTTTTATATAATTTTTATATATTACTAAATTAATAAATACATTTAAGGGGAAACAAACTTTTAGAAAAATCAGAAATAATTCAATAGACTTATTTGGTTTAGGCTGATAATATAAGGATAATTTTTTTGTATTATTATTTTTATATAATTTTTATATATTACTAAATTAATAAATATATTTAATATTATGAATTGTAAAAAAATTAAAAAAAATTATTTAAATGATACATAAAATTATATAAAAAAATAATATAAAAATATTATTCTCAAACCATTTTCCTTTGGTCTAACAAAGAAATTTGGTAAAATAGTTAATTTTAGAATGGGGACAAGTATTCTAACAAACATGAAATATTGATGCCCTAAGCATGGTAAAAGTTGATTTTATCAATAATTCTAACCCGACTTATTTAAAGGGAGTTGGACTTAAGAATTCTTAGTTTGTAAATTTTTTTTACATGAGTCACTTGACACATAATTTATGTAAATAATTTGTGTAAATGACTCGCATAAATGGGTTAACAACTCATTATATAATAAAATAAGTGGGTCATGAATTTCCTTCTCTAACTAAAAAACCTATTTGACCCAACCGATTTAACCTATGATCTGTGACGAACCAACACAATACAACTCATCTATTTGTCCCGTCCTAGTTAGGATTTTTGATGCACAAGGGCTTAGGGTGCATTCCTCCTCATATTCGGGAACAGATACCCAGATCTGTCATTCTGCAAGTCAATCCATACTCATCGTCTTCTTCTCGTTCGACTTTCTTTCTCATCTTTATAAAGCGTTAATTGCAATTTTATTGAGTCCGCCTATAACAGATTTTGCTTGTTGGAGACTGGGTTAGATTTCTTTCTTTCCCCTGGCTTCTGGGTTGTCGAAAGAGTTCGTTTGAATGATTGTTTGACAGGTGAGAAAAATTGTGTCCTTTTCTCGGTTTTCGTTTTGAGTATGGAGTAGAATTAAACTTGGGTTTCATTCCTTCTGCCATGAAGAACAGGGTTTCATGCTTTTTCGAAAAGGAAAAACTATCAGCGCACTGATTACGCTGCTGCCATGGCGCGGCGGAGATGGGGATTATCTCTTACTTGTTTTTCCTCTGCATCTTGCGATACAGCTCGTATAATCATCCGTGTTGTGTTGCAAGATGCAGGGAAA